TCTGTAGGAAGACCAGGCACAAGTAGCCCACCTATTTGTAGCAGGGGACCCCGCCAAAGGAGTTAGTTACCCTCCGGCAAGTAGGGAAATCCTGCAAACAGACCTGGAGATCAGCAAGCCCTGCAGTTACGTGGTGTGTGTATTTGGCGCCATTTTTTCCTCATCAGGACCCGGACGCTGATGCATGTGCATGCGTGAAAAATATTTAAAGGAGCAATTTTGTTGTTTTGCCGTGAAATTAAAGCGACAGTATAGGATTACACATCTCTGATGCTGGAAGTGCTCTTTGGGATTCAAGTCTCAATAACTCTGCAGGTACAATTTTTTTTCTGCTACCTTCATCAAAATAAATCTATATCGGAATTTTCAATTTTCCTCCAGATTAATTTAATTTCAATTTATTTTAGCCTGTTTTCCTTTCTAATGATGGATCATTCTCCAACTTCAGCAAAGTCTGCAAGAATAGGCCATAGGTAAGCATCATTATTATTTTTTAACTCACATTAAGCTTGTGTAATAAAAAGAGTGCACTAGAGGGTACAGTCTCTTGACTTCTGTATTTACAGCCCTCAAGACCAGACCGGCCCTATATCTACTTCCAGGAGAAGAGATAAACCAGCAGCCTGCGCTGGATGTGGCTCCAGACCATTGGAAAACTGCAGGTTCTGCAAGAGGTGCTTAGCACGGGTTGCAGGAGAATCGGAGTTCCAACAATCTCCCCAAGCTTCTACCTCAGCCCAGGATATAGCCTCATTTCCGGTGCATAAATCTATTAAGGATCTTATAAGCAATGAGTGGAAGAACGCAGAAAAAAGATTTTCTCTTCAAAGCAGACTTTCTAAGCTATACACATCCGAGAAGGGGATTCCAGGCTGTGGACCTCTAATCCTAAGGTGGATGCCTCAGTTATCAAAGTGGCTAAGCGCTCTATTCTTCCTATTGATTGGAATGCTTCCCTAAGGGACCCAATTGAAAAAAGAATAGATGCAGACCTCTCTAAGTGTTTTTTTGCAGCTGGTATGGGATGTTACCCTGCAGTTTCTATTTATGACATGTCCAGAGCCCTAAGACATAGGACATAGAAGAGGATTTGGATAAAGGTGTTAGTAGACAACATATAGCAGATTAATTAAGGGAGGTCAGATTAGCCTTTTAGAAGCTTCCACAGACCTGTTCAAGGTCATGTTGAAGGTTATGGCCTTCTCGGTAGCAGCCAGAAGAGCTCTATGGCTAAGATCGTGGGGTGCTGATATGGCCTCAAAGCATAATCTATTTTCCCTACCATTCTCAGGATAGGTGTTTTTTGGACGTCAAGCTATCAAGAAGGCACTGGACGTCAAGCAAGTATTACTTTCCCAAGATAAAAGACCAAGAAGACTGCCACTAGAATGTTTCTCTTATAGAGAACACCCTGCCTATAGAGAGAGTAAGGTCTACAGACCTGGTCAAGAATGCTACAGACCAGCCTTGGAGAAGTGGTCAAACCAGCAAGTCCACTATAGGAACAGCTATGGCCTCTTCCTTTCATTCTAATAAACAATTCTAAAGGAGACTGGCTGAAATCAGTGGATCTCAAAGACGCATACTATTACCATATTCCGATAGCTTTTCATCACCAGAGATTCCTCAGATTCTGCATAGACGAACAACATTTCCAGTTTCAAGCACTGTGATTTGGGATCAGCACAGCCCCAACGACCTTCTCAAAGGTACTGGTAACTGTTATTGCATTACTCAGAAAGAGGGTAGTGGCAGTATTCCATTATCTCATACATACAGACAGACACACACACACACACATACATACATACATACATACTTACAAACAGACAGGCACACATACATACAGACCGACACACAGACAGACAGACAGACAGACACACACAAGACACACATACATACAAAGACACATACATACATACAGACAGACACATACACACAGACAGACACACATGCACATACATACAGACACACAGACAGACACACACACAAGACACACATACATGCAAAAACACATACATGCATGCAAACAGACACACATACATACAAACAGACAGACACACATACATACATACAGACAGACACATACACACAGACAGACACACATGCACATACAGACAGACAGACAGACACACACACATACATACAAAGACACATACATACTTACAAACAGACAGGCATACATACAGACACACACATACACTGACACACACACATACACATACAGACACACAGACACACACACAGAGATAAACAAACAAACACATATACAACATTTTCAGTAACCCTCCTGTTCCCTACCTTTTAGTTGCAGGAGGGTGACTTGCCCTGGGGTCCAGTGGTGGCTCAGGTTGATGGGAGTCAGAGTTCCCTCTGCTTCCTCCCGCGTGGGCTCTGTGTGATTGCTAGGAGGAGTGACCGGGGCAGTCTCTTCCTCCCAGCGTGTGATGTCATCACAGGGGTCCCGGTCGTGCTGTTAAAGCACCGCAGTGCTGACCTGGCCCCCTGAAAATCCATACCCATCAGGATGGCGGGCACACAGTCTCAGGGGTCCGCAGGGCGGCTGGGCCCCCTGGAATGACGGTCCCGGTCATTGGGCCCCCTGGAATGCGACCCCTATATGTACCCCACTGGCTTCAAGTGGATGTTAAGGAGCTAAAAACACCTTCCATTTCCCAGGTATTGGGATTTTTACAGGTGGGTTTGGATAGAGGCTTCAATCTGAACACCCTTAAGGTTCATTGTTCCGCTATCTCTGCCATTTCAGGCATCAGATGGGCAGAAAACCCCATGGTGATCCGCTTTATGAAAGTAGTCATCAGGATAACACCACCAATACGGGACTTTACATGTGCCTTGGATTTGCCTTTGGTTTTACAGGCCTTGTTGGAACATCCATACGAACGAACCACTGGAAGAAATTTCGATATTATCCCTGACACAGAAGACTATACTTCTTTTAGCTTTGGTATCAGTTAGAAGGGTGGCAGACATAAGGGGACTTTCAGTGGAAGAATCTTATACCACATGACAACGGTAATTCTCCTTTCCAGAGCAGAATTTCTCCCTAAGGTGGTCTCTCCATGTCATCTAAACCAAGAGATTGTTCTTCCAGTCTACTTTCAGAGCTAACACATATATTAAATGCTGCCATGAATAATAGCCAGGAAAAGAAAATTACAGTAAGTATGAATACATTTTCCTTAATCTTGTTTATGGATGTCTGAGGTTTGTGTCAGTTACAGTTTGGCCATGTTATTGGCTTACTGTCCCGCCTATCACTCTAGGAGGCACTCTATTTAAAATTGAATGCATTCAGGAGTCTGTCCCAGTGGTATATTTTGGATCTGTGCTGCCCAAGGCATGATGAAACTCACCCTTAATTTACATTTGCCCCACCCTTCCTGTCAAGGCCATACCTCTTCCTGTTAAAGACTAACACACACTTTGACTGACAGATACACACTCTCAGATACACTGACAAACACAATCACAAACTGACAGACACACACTCACTGACATACACACACAGTGACGCACACACACACACACTCACTCACCGACAGACACACACCCACCCATTCACAGACACTCACTCACTCACAGACACACACAATCACTGACACACAGCCTTCCTCACAGACACACACTCACTCAGACACAAACACTCACTCAGACACACACTGACAGACACTTACTCACAGACACACACACTCACTCAGACACACACTGACAGACACACACACACCCCCTCCTCAACACTCACAGATTTATTTAAATTTAAACCCATCTTAGCCTCCCTACCTTTGGGGGAGTTGGGTGGATTTTTTACCTGGGGTCCAGTGGGGCTCCTGGCCGGGCTGTTTGGGCAAGAAGGCAGACGGGAGGCCAGTTCAGGTCCAGGCAGACGTCATATTTCGGCACCCGGCATCACTCTGCGGTGTGCAAGGGAGAGCTCATAAATCAGCGTTCCCTCGACGTCTGCCTGGACCTCAACTGACCACCTGCCTCAAGGCTAACACGGCAGTTAGGGGGCGGCGTTTTTTGCCAATCCCTGGAAAGTGCCACCCAAGGTAAATGCCTTGTTTGCCTCGTGGCAAATGCAGCGCAGGTCTGTCCTTTTTTAAGAACTGCTTGATTGGTGGACTCATAGTCAACGCTCTGTACATGGCCAATTCTGCTAACGAGCCTATATGGCTTTTAGTATGCTACATGGACCTTGTACAGCACTTTTGTACCTGACTGTTATTACTTTTTCCTTACACCTGTCGTTTGTTTTTCTATATTTTATTTTAAAGGGACACTCTAGTCACCAGAACAACTACAGCTTAATGTAGTTGTTCTAGTGAGTATAATCATTGCCTTCATGCATTTTAATGCAAACACTGCCTTTTCAGTGAATAGGACAAGTAAGGATTGATGTTACAGTCTCATATGACTTCCTTATATAACATCATGGTGTTCCTGTTCTTCGTACTACTATTACATCCTGTCCCCCCCCAAAACGTTTTCTAATCACGTTGTTTCCAACTCAGATGCTCTTTTGGTATTGCTCACCTCTCCTAACCCACTGTCACGGCATTGTAGAGAAGCATGGGGACCTATTCTCTGCGCGCACATTAAAACGTTCCCATAGGAAAGCATTAAAGCAATGCTTTCTACTGGGGCTTTGTCATCAGTTCCACTACTGGCTGTTATACTTACAGCTACTAGAGAAGGACTTAACCCTGCAATGTAAACGTTGTGTTTTCTAAAAAATTGTAATGTTCTACATAGCATGTTTCAGGGGACAGGGACATGGCAACCGGACCACTTCACTGAGATGAAGTGGTCTAGGTGACTATGGTGTTTCTTTAATTAAAAAAAAATGAATACCGTCACCCTGTTGGAACTGCTCCTAGGTGATCACCAGACCTCTACTGCCATGGACACATAGTTCTTTCCAGATTGTACCATGCCCCAAGTACTTGGGGACAATCAATGAGAGACCATACAAGGGATTCAGTTCAGAAATGTCTGATGTTTTTTAAACAGAGCAAAGTTTAGAAGGCAAACAAAATAAGGGGATGTCTAGGGGGAGTATCATTAATTACCAATCAAATATTGACAACTATTAACAAACAACCTGAATAGGCTTGTGCAAACGGCATGAAATGGGCATATAACAATTTAGTAATATAAAACTTATCTAGGGTACATTAATGGGAGGGGTCTTCCGAGAACAGGGGAGGGTCATGTGCAAAACTAAGTATCTGATGTCCCTACAATGTACCAGGTTGTTAGTCTTTGATTCATCATAACAACATTTAACGATGTAAAATAGTATTCCGTGTGGAGTTTTTTTTTTGTTTTTTTTAAATTCTTTATTTTTGGTTCGACACATATTACGGCATTGCAGTATACAGTGGCTCGCGCAGGGGCCAATAGTGATTGAGGCTAACATTGCATAATACAGAAGATAAGCAGTTTTACAGGTTAAATCAAGGTTCTATTGTGCCGTGCAGTGTCGCTGTTTCTGTTTTGGTGGGCAGTACGTGTCCACACATAAAAGATAAAATATAACACTTTCCGTATGGAGTTTTATTTGCACCTTATGGCATGAGTTATTATTAAATGGGGCTGAATTCAAATATCAAAGTATTAGAATGAGCACAAAAAATTTAAAAATAAAATCCAATGCAGAGGTGTGAAAATAGTAAGAATGAATCTTTATTTGGTTAATTTTCCAATAAGCTAAACATTATTAGGTTAATTATTAATTGAGAAATATGTGGATTTTAAAGGTAATTATTTATGGTCTGTAATTGAGGGATTATTTGTAAACTGTGAATGCAACTCTAAAGCAGTAAAATAAGATAACATAATTTAGTGTGGTATCTTTACTAAGGCAGTAAGCAAAATCATTACACGCTGGTGTTTGAATAATTCTAGAACTTGCAGTATTTATTATAATTTAGCTTCTTTCCCACTTTCGTTCCTGCAAGACGTTCCTCAAACTTTGCGTCCATCTCTCTGCTCTGTTCTTCAGTGAAAAGGCTCCTCCAGTCCCCTATCTCCCCTTTAAGGGCAGGAAAAATAGATCAGAGATAACATTATTTCCATTTTAACTAGGTTTTATGCTTTGTGACATTACAGGAGCCAAGTGGAGGTGCAATCAAAGACTTCTTATAGAGAAGCTTTAGATCAGACCATTGAACTGCCTCAGAGTGCAAGTGCCGCTCTGAACTGTTGAAGGCAAAGGGAGTGGGGAGGGAAAGGAGAAATATATAGAGTCAGAATATATGCACAGAATTCACATTCAAGTGTGCCGAGGGTGTAACAAGCCCCGGAATACAATTGCAAATGACTCTGGATTTGCAATGTTCCAAGCAGAACCACTCCACATCCAGACTCCTACCTCCATGACCACTACAAAAAGAGAAAGTGGTTATGGTGGTTGGAGAAACCCTTAAACTAATGTGATGCATGTAATAACTACCCAATAGAGATGGTATAAATAATTACAGCATGGCAAGGGTTTATATTATTGAATTCAACTACCACCTGTGAGGTGAACTGGGTCTGGGAAGGTAAATCATGTTGGTGTTGAGACAATACCATGAAATGGTATAGCAACTAAGGCATGTTTTAATTTCCTATTTATAAACCATATTCTGCAGAGGGATTTACAAATCTGATTCCTGTTAACTGAGGTCCAGTAATAATTTTTGGAATTTACTAGATAAGCTCTGCATAGTTAATGTATTTATTAAGATACATTAAATGTTAATTTCAAAAGTCTCCAAAATATCTGCAGATTTATCTTAATTGGAATATGCATGTTTTTTGTATAGCAATGGAAGTTGTAAATAATCAGACCCAATAAAATATATTTTTGAGATACTTACCTTTTCGGAACATTGAATCACCAAATTCACCATGAGTTTCATGGGATTTTTCCTTCATTGATTTAAAAGTAGTCTTATTTTCAATTTTGTTAATTTGTTCATTTGTCAAATGGAGTCCAAAGAATTTACATATTTTCTTCAGTTGTGTAGCAAAATCCTATTTGAAATAATACAATAATGCATTTTCAATTATATTTTAATAAGCAATTATGTTAGTTCACTGGTATTGTGTTAAAGGGTATATTCTCATTAGAGAGAGAGTGTGTGTGCCAGCGCGTGTGTGTGCGTGTGTTTTTTTTTTTCTAGTAAAAACATTATGGAATTTGCTTTCTATTTCAACAATATCCAAAAGGATAGATGCTTAGAAACATGTAGATATGCTAGTAGTTAAAGTGGATTGTGGAAAGTAATTGAAGAGTGCAGTGAAAATTTTCATGTTGTGCTCCATTTTTTTAAACATATATTAAAGATTTAATTACAATCTAGCCATAGCCACAGTATATAGCGCAAATGAGGAGAAAAAAGGAAACATTGTTTGTTGATTGTTTTATTGTTCCAACTAAGGAGAAAAAATATTGACACTATAGGAAATTGTATTTACAGGGAATAAATTAAAATCAAGCCATTACATAAAAAAACACATCACCAACTAAACAGTTACTCAAAGTGGCAACAGTGAGGACATAGATTAAAAAGGTTTACCTCCCCCCCTCCCCCCCTTTGGAATAGCTAATTCCTTAACCACCACCCAATAATTCAGATAGTTTCACATTGCCTAGGTATAATTTTAGCTAATTTTGTATATAAATTGGAATGTATTGCCTAGAAATATTCACTACTTAAAGTGAGAATTCAAAGTGAATTTAAAGTTTAAGTTAAAATTTAACAGTTCCTGTCTGAAATATCTCTTATGCAAATATTGCATCCAAAATGGATATAACTGTAAGATAAGAGCAATATAGAAATAGAGGAAAGATATTTAGGCTAAAAGGAGAATTTATTTTTCTTCCTTGTAATCAGTTTGAGTTGTAAATAGCAGATTCTTCATACAATTTATCAAAGGGGTAATAAACAAATACCTATATTTTCTATAAGTCAGTTACTCAAAAATATTTAAAAAGATAAACCACTGGCAAAATGCAAAAAAAAAATAAAAATAATTATTGTTTAGTAAATATACACCCAATGAAAACATTATGTATTGGGGGTTTGACTTGACCAGCACAGCGGATGCACGCGTGAGTGAAGTGCTCCACAGCGACCTGGGCTCAATAACCGTGTCCTGAGCAGAAAATAACAGTATTGCAACGAAAAAACACCGCACAGCCTCCAGCAACACCCCAACGAATCCGCCAGCTGCATAAAAAAAGTCTAGCTCCTGAGGTTTTTTACAGAACTGAGCATAGTGGAAGATGGCCCAAGATGGCGCCCAGCCGCAAAACACAGGAAATGCCGCCTAGAAGCCCAGCAGGGTCCAAAATATTATCGGAGGACATGGACCTGCATACTATTTTGCTCCAACTACCCTCACGAGCAGACATGGCTATGTCTATGGTGCAAAAATTGGAGGCAAGTGTGGGGGAAAAGCTGCACGCTATGGGAAATGAAGTGCAGGCCCTGGGACAGTGGGTACAAACACTGGAGGATGAAGGGGAGGCTACACCAGCACAATGGACACTGTGGCAAGAGGCCTTTATCAAACAAAATGAGGCACTACAATACCTCCATAGAAAATTAGATGATGTGGATAACAGAGGGCAGAGAAATAACCTGCGGGTAAGAGCCTCCCAATGGAACTTTGGAGAATGTATTTGAGGTGCTGGAGAGGCTATTCAACCAAATATTACGATGTCCACAGGATCAAATTTGACCAAGCTCATGGGGCCATGAGGCCTCACTCTTATCATCTGCCGCCTACATAACTACACCTTGAATAGCACATTCTAAGACAATCCAGATCATAACCACAGATATCGTTCCAAGGCAAGCAAGTGCTCATCTTTCCGGATCTATCACAGGCTACCTTTCAGGCCCGCAGGGCGCTTAGGCCGATAACAAAGGCCCTGAATGACAAGGGACTCAAATACAGGTGGAACTATCCATTCGCACTATCAGTGATGCATGGAGGCAAGATCTATCTACGCTATTATGGCCCCAGCGGACGTACTTGCGTGAGTGTGGAGGACTGGACGGACCTGCAATCCACAACCCCAATGAGCAAGATGGCAGAAGTTGTCCAGAAAAAAAGCGGAGGACGACTCCGGCACCCAAAGACTTGGGCCCGGACACCCTAGCAAGGCCAACCTGAACTCTTCCTCAGGGTATATCCTTTATTCTTTCTAGGCACTCTGTGCCATAGCATCGTGCTACCAAAGCGGTTGATTTATGTTGATGTTGAAATTATTAAATTTTATATGGTTGAGTCTGCTTGTAATCCCCCCAAGGGGCTATTTTAATTCCCTCCCCCTCCCCCCTTTTTATCTATCCATATGCTAATTAGGCAAATAGGGCATTGGAGGTGAGCATAAACCGACTGACAGCAGATCAACTCGTATATAGCTGGATCCGCTTCCAAAGCCATAGGCAGACCAACCCATACTATTCTATATCAAGAAACGTTTATAATTACCCACTTATTGTCTTAGGACAAGATCACCATGTAAATTTACAATTTTTTATTCTATTACTCATTTAGTGACTTCTTCCCTCCCAGGCGATATGCTGCCTGCCAAGCTATCGATTACCACCGAGACGTGCAAGTTAAATACTTACCGGTACCCAAGTTTGATTTTGTTATGCTCCAAGTGGCCAAGATACGTGAAACCAAACAAACTAGAGGTATTACTTAATGCCAGTCTGCAGTGATAGGCAGGGAGTCAACTTGAAGTTGATCTCCATTAACACCAGGGGTCTAAACTCACCAGAACATAATATCCTACTGAGAGACCTACACAGATGTCCACTTTATACAGGAAACACAAGCCAAGGGAGCTCAGAGCTAGGCATATCTCCCATTCTTTCTACAGTAACTATGTAGGGGGAAGGTTCAGAGGGGTGGCAGTCCTAATTTCATCAAATATAGCTTTTACCCCAAAAGAAAGTATCACGGACCCACAAGGTCCATTTTTATTTCTCAAGGACACTGTAAATAATGCATTATTCACATTCACAAATATTTATGCACCCATCAATAGCCAAATCTACTTCCTTAAACAAATATTGGCCAAACTTGACCCATTCATAGAAGGGACTCTGATTGTAGGGGGCGACTGGAATACTGCTCCGGACCAGGCACTAGATACTACCTCACAAGACAAGGACCATCTCAAACAGCAGAGACTCCTTTTACATAAAGTACTACACTCACTCCAACTCATTGACAGCTGGTGCACAGTTCACCCAGAGGGAAGGGACTACTATTTCTCGCACACCGCAAAATTCATACTCACGCATAGATAGGTTCTACACAAACCACAGACACTTACACCTGCTGGCCAACACTTCTATTGGAAATATAACATGGTCGGACCATGCACCCATTTACTTAGAAAAAGCTATACAAGGTGCCACACAGCCTAATCCCAGATGGCACCTTAACGATTCGCTTCTAGATGACACAAGGGTAGCAGATGAGATCAATACCAGTTTGCAACACTACTTCACAGAGAATACCACCCAGCATTCAACTGCTGAATGGATATGGGAAGCCCTTACGGGTGTCATAAGAGGCATCCTAATTAAATGGGGCTCCAGGATTAAAAATGCAAGGGGGCGGCTATGACCCAGATATTTCTCACAAAAATACAACAAGAGGAGCTTAAACATAAGGCACAAGCATTCCAGGAATCCCTTAAGCTGGTTCCCCTATATACCACTATAATGTCATAAAGCATAGAACTTAGCAGGGCTAAGAGATCCTCTATTTAAAATATGTAAATAATTGAGAGTACGATATAAAATAAGGATTGTCTTGGAAGCAATAAAGTTTTGTCTTTTAGATATTTTTTTAAATAGAAATAGAAATATAGACATACAAAATCCATTATAATAATTTATAGCCAAGTTTATAAGATTAAACTATATGCTTGCAATATCATTAATAAAATAACATACCCTCCTGAATATGTCATCATGTCAGCCTGTCTGTCATTATAAGATGTCTCCAAATCTCTCCTCGCTGTGTTCTCTAATATTCAAAAAGTACACCTATTTATACCTTAGGTGTCTTCATTTTAGGGTTATCGTAGTTCATATTTGAAAAAGTAACACTTCTTTTGTTTTTGCTCATTCTAGGGACCTCCCTTAACTTGGCAAAAATACAAGGCCATAACTAAAACGTAAGGGTGCACACATCATGGGAAATTCCCTGACATAGGACAAGATGGCATGTTAAAGTCTGAACATCTTTAGCTATTTAGGGTTACAATTATAAATTGTTAAAGGACCACTCTAGGCACCCAGACCACTTCAGCTTAATGAAGTGGTCTGGGTGCCAGGTCCAGCTAGGGTTAACCCATTTTTTCATAAACATAGCAGTTTCAGAGAAACTGCTATGTTTATGAATGGGTTAAGCCTTCCCCTATTTCCTCTAGTGGCTGTCTCATTGACAGCCACTAGAGGCGCTTGCGTGCTTCTCACTGTGATTTTCACAGTGAGAGCACGCCAGCGTCCATAGGAAAGCATTATGAATGCTTTCCTATGTGACCGGCTGAATGCGCGCGCAGCTCTTGCCGCGCGTGCGCATTCAGCCGACGGGGAGGAGAAGAGGAGGATCGGAGGAGGAGAGCTCTCTGCCCAGCGCTGGAAAAAGGTAAGTTTAACCCCTTTTCCCCTTTCCAGAGCCGGGCGGGAGGGGGACCCTGAGGGTGGGGGCACCCTCCGGGCACTATAGTGCCAGGAAAACGAGTATGTTTTCCTGGCACTATAGTGGTCCTTTAAAGACTAACTTCTCTACCAAATTGTTAGAAGCCCTAAACTCCATCAATGGGATAGAACAACTGCTGGCACCCATGCTTTGGGCCTCCATAACAGTACTGCCTAAGCAGGGGAAGGACACTTTACTATGTGCCAGCTATAGGCCAATATCACTCATCAACACAGATTTAAAAATATTTGCTAAGCTGTTGGCACTTCGTCTCAGGCCCATACTGCCTGAGCTGGTATACTCTGATCAGAAAGGATTTGTACCGGGTAGGGAGGCGAGAGATATCAGAACCAAAATAGTGAACCATCTGCACGGGGCTCGAACATCCAATACACCCCTGGCCTTATTATCCATAGATTCCGAAAAGGCGTTTGACAAGGTGGACTTGCCCTATCTGTTTGCAGCGATGGAGGCACTGGGGGTTGGGGCGAAGTATTGCACCTGGGCTAGGGCTTTGTATACTGGCCCCTTCGCTACTGTAGGAGTTAACGGCAGAGACTCAAGGCCCTTTACGATAGGGAACGGCAGCCGGCAAGGATGCCCGTTATCCTTTACTTTTCATCCTCTCCCTGGAACCAGTACTCCAGGCCATCAGATTCAACAATAATTAACCTTTGCCGATGACATACTTGTCTCACTTACTAAGCCCACCCAGTAATTCCAGCAGGTTGTTTAAGAACTGCACAGGTTTAGCTCCCTGTCGAACTATAAAATAAACATTGACAAGTGTGAGGTGCTTGGTGTAGGGGTCCCGAACGCAGTTAAAACTGAAATCTTCCAGACTTTAGGGATACACATCACACAGACACTATCCGGCCTATTCAGAGCAAATTATTCCCCCCTCCTGGAGCAAGTGAAACAGGACCTCCTAGGGTGGGACCCCCCAAACTTGTCAATGACAGGGAGGATCAGTGTCTTAAAGATGATGGTTCTACCAAAGATATTGTATATTTTCCAGACACTACCCATCCATGTTCTGAGTTCATTCTTTAATTCTATGAAAAGCCTGTTCACATCCTATGTTGGGCGGACTCGACATCCCCGCATCTTAAGAGAGGTGGACTGGGATTACCCCATGTTTACCACTATTATATCATGGCACTTATGGTACACTTGAGAGAGTGGACGGATAGGAAGTTCCCCAGAGCCTGGTATCGTTGGAACAGGGATTTGCCACGGCCCCTTTGGAGACCATGGCAAACTTGCCAAATAAATAAGATAGTGCAACCCTCTCACCCCTTTCTGGGCACCAAATCAGGACTACCTGTGAGCTGTCCCCCAGGACGCCCCTACTATGCCAGATAGCAAACAATCCAGATTTCCAACAAGGAACCGGAGGGGAATTGACTAGACGTCCTGGGGACCTGTAACACTATAGGATCAGTGCTAAAAGGCTCTATGGTCCCGGCTCTGATAGATCCGAAAAAAGATAGTGCCCATTAGAAGTAATGCTTTACTCTCAGCTGTCCATTTACTTTAAGAAACATATACTACCAACCTTGGAAGAGAGGAATTTAACTCCCTTTGAGAAGTCTTGCACTTTAGGTAACAGAATGCACCAACTCCTATCATTTTTCTAATACCTGATACAGAAAAACTCCCAGGAGAACACTTCCCCAGCATATTGGGCAAAATGGTGCTCTATACTAAAAATACAGTTAACTCACAAAGACTGGGAATACATTATGGGACAGGTAATGAAATAGTCTATTAGTACTGCCCATAGGGAGATGTTCTATAAGAGGGTAGACATGTGGTACAGAACACCCTCATTTCTACATGCACATTTTCCCAGTGTGAGTGACCGGTGCTGGAGATGTATGAGGGAAGAAGGCACTGTATATCACATATGGTGGCAGTGTTCGATTGTGCGCCCCTTCTGGACACAAGTACTAGAGGTAATTAAAATAATTTTCCCCAAGTATACTAACTATGATCCCCTCACAGGTATTACTAGGTTGGCCCAACTCAACAAAAATTATAAACAACCAGAAACTTGTATGGTTCTTGATAGGGGAGGTGAATGCCCTGATACCTGGTTCATGGCGGAAAATTTAACCACTCTCCATTGCCCAATGGATAAACCGGGTAGAGGAGGTGAGGGGCATAGAGGAACTCCACTGGTCCACCAGGGGCCTTCACGGGAAATATATGGGTATATGGCAGCCCTGGATAGCACACTGGAACTCTGCTAGGGAAGGCAAGAAGAGGGTGGAACAGGGGGACAAGAGAGAGGTTTAGGCAAACAAAGAAGTAAGAATACATGAGGCTGAGGGACCACTGGGATGAGACACTGGTATAAGTGGGACCGAGAGCAACTGAGACTTGCCATTATGAGCCACTTGGAGCAAAGGGTTTTTAGTGTTTTCCATTTGTGCAGTGGCCAGTGTGAACGTGTTAGTGTTTCTATCACTTGTAATGTATTATTTGTTTACCTTACATTGCAATAACTGGAATAATTGGATGAAGGCTTTATCTCTGTCAGATGTACATGTATACATTGTCCAAGCACGTACACCATATGCAGGTCCCTTAGGAACATAGTGACCAGGTGGTGATCCGCCCTGATAAGTTGATATCCAGACAACAGACATGTAACCACATAGGATTTAGTATATCATGTATACATCACAGTCTATGTGAAAAGACATATTATGAAAGGTCTACGCGAGTAACGGTCTGCAGAGTAACTATATATCCTGTAATACTTGTACCAAATCGCCTTATATGTGTCAATGTATTTGATGTAAACTTGCATCATGCGTTTAGACTGGAAGAAAGAAGATTTCGTCTTAGGCAAAGGAAAGGATTTTTTTACTGTAAGAACAATAAGGATGTGGAATTCTCTGCCTGAAGAAGTGGTTTATCAGAGATGTTATACAGATGTTCAAACAGCTACTAGATGCATACTTGCAAAAACAGAATATTCAAGGATATAATCTTTCAATGTAGGGTAATAACTGCTTGATCCAAGGATGAATCTGACTGCCATTCTGGGGTCAAGAAGGATTTTTTTTTCCTAGCTTGTTGCAAAATTGGAAGTGCTTCAAACTGGGTTTTTTGCCTTGTTTTGGATCAACAGCAAAAAAGAAATGTGAGGAAGGCTGAACTTGATGGACGCAAGTCTCTTTTCAGCTATGTAACTAGATTATCCATTTATGTACATTAAAAACAAATTATACAAAAAAAAACAAAACAAACATTATTTTTTTTTTCAGTGAGAGTTTCTCTAAAAACAGCTTGCAAAAGTGGCAGATCTTTTCTCCGCTTCTTCCCCAGCCCAGAATTTCTGTGGCTGTCCAATCACAGAATTACCCATCCTAATGCACCTCAAAGAGAAATCTTTACAAGACAGATGCACTGGGCAATTGCTGCCTCTTGAGTTTAGCGCCACAGAGCTAACCTAACTAGGAAGTAACAAGACTGTCTCACTGACAGCCAGGGTTGTGTAACTAGGTTAAGCTATAAAAGTGGCAATTTCTGTTGAATTTGTAAAAAAAAAAAAAAAAAAAAGGGACACACTACACACAAAACATTTCAGCACATGGAGTGCCCGTTTAACATTTTTTATTGTTAGACTATACACCAGCTTACATAATGGTATGCTCTAACCTCTATATTTTCAGCCAACATATATATAATAAACAAATGAAGTTACCCTATGTAGCGGCCTATTCTCTAGTAGCTAGGATGTCGCCACCAAGATCAGCTTTCCCCCTTGTGTTTTTAACCCAAGTGTATATAGCTCAGTTATTATAGCGAATATTGCTGTCCCACCAAAACACTAGCCAAGACTTAGTGAATGGTGAATAAGAACTGGTTTATTGGGACAAACACTTTTTTATACCTGGGACCCCAGCAAGGGGTCACCAGGAAAACATTTAGTTATTGCACAACATCTGGCGAATAGGTATCTGTAACTAACCAGGTAATTCTATCAACGGCCAAACACCATGGCGCCTAATAAAATTATTACTCAAAAACTCAGGTTTCCGTGCCCGCATCCCTAAACAGTCCAAAAAGTGCTCAGATCGGACATGTCTAGCCCGGATTAGCTGGATGTCAAGTTTTGACTGGTCCGCAACCATCCTCCAATCCAGTGCAAAGTTCCACAGTGCTGGGTGAGAAGTCCTGGTCACCTAAAATTAAGGCGCTTTCCGAAGGTACATGGAGCTCCCTCAAGTCCAGGTTGTAATCGATGCCTCACCAACTCCTCTATCATCCTTCCAAATATTTTTTAGTAAATCTGTTTAGTGACTCTGTTTGGCTGTTTGGTTACTCTGGGACCGAGTGCACCCTTGACAAAGTTTTATATGACTATGGCACTACGCGATCCGCTTCAGAGTTCCAGAGATTGTTTTGGTTGCTCCCGGTTAGGTGTGTTGTGTCTCTATGAGTTTCCTCCAGGCTGTGATGACTCTGGGGAAATAGGGCGATGGGCTGGGAGGCACGGGCTGGTGGGGTCAATATAGTAATTATTGTCCTTGGTAGAGGAAGGTGGATGTTAGAAACCATGTACTAGGTGATCAGGTAGTCTGTCACATCCTATCATTTCAGGGAGACAGGGAAAATAACCCTAGTTTGATTACCTCAGCTAAAGTCAGCCTACAATACCCCAACAACTCACTACTAATAGTATGCAAACATCTATGTTGATAGACAAACAAACCTAGCAGAAGAAGATGAAATATTATTAACCTAACTGCTTGTTTCACTATAAATTCAGTACAATGTTAAGGAGTCAAGATTACCTCTGCTATACACAGTCAACCATACTGTCAGGATTCCTCCATATTATCTCGGAATTCCTCCATGTTGACTTCAGCCAGATCGGCATTACCTGTGTGACTTCCAGGTTCCGCCGATCAGTCTCCGCCCATGCGTCTGACGTCACACGCTTTCCTTCAAAAGCAAGCCGCGATCGCATCCAAATTGCACAAGCAATGTGTTTTGTGTGTGTGTTCTCTCGCATATTTGCTACTTTGTTGCTGATTTACTGACAGAGCTTTCTAATTGATTTCCTGTGTACCGAACCTCTCTAGTTTGATCCTGACGACACTCTACTCTTCACTCCCTGACTTGGAACAGACTTCACCTTGGATTCCTGTCTCTCTTCACATACCAGAAGGAACCATAATCCACACTATCCTGGAAGGACGCTCATGCTCATTACCCAATGCAAGATAAATTCTCCAGTTATTGGGATTAACAATTGGTTCTTACCTGAAGTTATTTGGGAAGGATAAGGGAATACTAAGTCTGTCCTCTGGGACCCACTTGCATATTCTAATTGAAAGTCTCATAAGTCAATTACTCATTCATCATTTGTGTTATTCATTTTTATTGGAGTCTAAAGGACTATAACCACTACTCAGCCACGATTTGCCTTATTTCCAACTTCTGTTTTCTTTTTCAAAAGGACTGTTATTCCCTACAACAGGAATCATATCACCTTCTCTGTCAAACTCTATATTGAAGTTTATGAACTATATTGCTAATTAAAGGATCACTATAGTGTCAGGAAAACAAACTTGTTTTCCTGACACTATATAACCCTTAGGTCCTCCCACCCTCAGGGTCCCCCTCCCGCAGGGCAGAAGGGGTTAAAACTTACCTTTATCCAGCGCCGGGCTCCCTTGGCGCTGGTGACCTCTCCTCCCCCGCCGACGTCAGCTCCCGAGTGGAGCGGAATGCGCATGCGCGGCAAGATCCGCGCGCAGTCAAACAGTCCATAGGAAAGACTTTCTCCTGGCATTCATGTGGTGTTAAAGGATGTGCTGCTCATGTCTTACCTCTTTTATTTCTTCGAATGTGACTGCCATTATATTTTCTTCATCTATGTGCTCATTCCAGGATAAAGCATGATCAAAGTAAGATCCATAGCATACTAAATAAAATAAACAAGAAAAGGAGAGATTTATTGAAAATTGAAAGAATTCATACTTTCACCACTGCAAGTTTTAATTGATAGATTTTTTGTCTTTTTGACCCAAACATTCTGCTGGCAGTTTAATATTTATTTAGAGAATGTAAATCACAAGCCCTATACATTTTTTTTTTTTTTTTTTAAGGAACATATTTTTATTTGTAGAATTATGTTTTTATACTACTAGAGGAATTCGTTTGGTTCAGCTGTGATCCTACTCTCCTCTCCCCCTCCCTCTGGACCGGCGAGGGATATCCCGGTCACTACTGAACATACTGGGGCAATTAGCACTGCTCCTACCTTTTGCTACACATAGACAACCATTGGAACTTCAGGTGCACTAAGCCACAAGATAGTGACTGCCTCCTTGCTAGACACCCAGCGTCTGCGCCTGTCTCATGTGCCTCAATGCGGCTCAGTGGAATCTTCTCTGCAGTGCTTGGATGGTATCTTTCAAACCTTCTGGCTGAGAATCCTAGAGAGTGAGCAGGCTACCCTGGCTGAGTGGGAAATCGCTCCTGAAAGAAATTAGCAGCCGGAGCGGAGCAGGCCTCCTTGGGGCAAAATGCACAAGCAAGCGTATACTTACTCAGCTTTTTGTCCATCCGGGCCGAGAGCCCCTCAGGGTACTGCCTCCAAGCATCAACCACTGAAGTGGAGGATCACCCGCTGAAAACGGCGCCCACCATCTAGACCCTCTGCGTACCATAGAAGGGGGAAGGACTTGGTTCCAGTGAATACCATGGAGTCCATGAAATAGTGATGTTGGGCCTCATTCAGGCCTGGGGCGGGAGGAGAGTCCTGAATTTGCGCACCTCTGCCACAGTTCACCTGAACTCTCCTGTATATGCTCCACTCCTGCCGTTGATGGGGATCGGCTGATCCAGATACTGGGATTGCAGCTTGAGACCCACTCCAATGATGGCAGTTGCCGTGTCATCTGATTTATAAATGGTCTTTATGCTTTAAAATATGCTTTTCTGCTTGTCCTTGTGTAAATATATTTTGTTTATATTTTCTTCTTCTCCTACCTATGATTCAATAGGGATTTTCATTACTGTAATGTTGGGGTGCCCCAGAGTCCAGTGGTCTCATAACGCTGTCTGATAATCTACAGTTTATGCAATATTTGATTTTTACCTTTGTATCTCATGTTACTCCGCCTACTGCAATATACCACTATTTGACACCACTCCTGTTTTTTCCTGTGCTTAGATTCGGCCTGTTAGCTTGATACAACTCTCTGTGTAATCTTTAACCTCTAAAAATTGTATGTATATAGCACAGACTAGGATTTTACATCTTCTTTAATAGTTTATGCAGAAACAGTGTTTATCTTGTTTAATTAATTAGAATTTTACAAAAAGTACAACAATCTTGACATGCCATTTATTGTACTGTACTGTGTTTGCAAAATCTTCTGTTATTTCTATCCATGTGCACTTGTCATTCTAAGCCTGTTTGTTAATCACTGCACTACAAAAAATAAAAAGGGTGAGTACATTCATTCTGTAGTACAGATATGTTAACCCTTTATTTCAGAGGGGTGGGGGGGAGTAATCTAAAATGATGTTACAACACCCCAGCTTTACACATAAATGTATTAATGCATTTGGCTGCCATGTTCGGTTAAAATGAGAATATAAGCACCATAACCACTTCAGCACAATATGGTTGTTATAGTGTCATTGCGCCCCTCCATATAAGTAGTCAAACCTTTTTGCCAACAGTCGAATACTGTATGTATTTTGCTGCCTCTCCCTTACTCTCTTTGGAGTATTGGATTTTCTTAGTATACCTTGACCTCCTTGACATTAAAGGGATTCTCCCGTGCCATGAAAACATATTAGTTTTCCTGGCACTGCCGGACTCTGTAGTGCCCCTCTCCCTCCCACCCCCCATCCTAAGTTGTTGAAGGAGTTAAAACCCCTTCAGTGACTTACCGGAGTCTAGCGCCGATGTCCCTCGGAGCTGGTCAGGCTCCGCCTACTCTCCTTCCCCGTCACCGTCAGCCGGCGGGGGAAACCTAATGCGCATGCGCAACAATGGCAGCGCACGTGCATTAGACCTCCCCCTAGGAAAGCTTTATTCAGTGCTTTCCCATGGGGAGTTTGGCGACGCTGGAGGTCCTCACATAGCACGAGGACATCTAACGTCGCTTAAAACACTTTTCGTGTTCTAAGAACACGGAACTCCCTCTAGTGGCTGTCTAATAGACAGCCACTAGAGGGGGACTTTACCCTGCAAGGTAAATATTGCAGTTTATAAAAACTGCAATAATTACACTTGCAGGGTTAAGGGTAGTGGGAGTTGGCACCCAGACCACTCCAATGGGCAGAAGTGGTTTGGGTGCCTGGAGTATCCCTTTAAAATGCACAGTAATCATTTTTCTTTAATATATTTCCAATCTAGTAATATAACATCTCCTTAAGGACGGAAGCAATTGTCCAGGTTCTGACCAAGTCAAACCCTAGAATTTGAGCTGTCTGTTCAACAGTAATTTACCTCTTTCATATTAAGTACACCCACACTTATTATATATCATTTTGTACAGGAGAAATAGAGCTTTTTTTTCCACATCAAATATTTATATATGAAACATAATGTAATATGAATAAAATCTAAAAAAGGTGTGAACTTTTATTTTCCAAGTTCTGCATGGCATATTAACTGCGAATGTCATAATACTGTTGGCTTTTACTGCAATAAAAAACACAAATCTGTATGCTGTGATGTCCCACGAGTACAGCGATGCTCCCCATTTACATGTTTCAGTGTTTTAGAAATATACAAGCAGTACTGGATTTGTCATAACGCTAAAACCTCAGAACTGTAGGCAGGAGAGGGGCAGTGGGGCTGCTGGAGTGAGGTTTCTAGTTTAACTGATCCTTCTTCACCCAGTTAGGGGGTAATCCTACCACAACCACCATATTTTTCTCTATTGAAGAATTGTATCTTCATCTGCAGTTACCCACTTTATACATGTAACCCTAATTTAAGCAGCAGTCACTCTACTTGGGGTAGAGTTCACAGAGGGAACCCATGGAGCCAAGTACATGTCCCTAGTGGAATTTAGGCCTACTAGTAAGCCATCCGTCTTAATTCTAAAATCAATCCATAGTCTTTCTACACCTCGATATCGTTAGTTTCTATGTATTGTGCTAATCACTAATCGACTGACATTATTAATTGTGGACCCCTGTTTTTAAACATATCTGTAAATTATATCAACAATAAAGAATTTAAAAAATATATGATTACTTTTTAAATTGTCTAATAAAATTCACAGAATTTATAACACCAATAATAAATATATTTATGACTATAGTTGTTAATTTTAATGGTACCTTTTGCATTCATATAATCCTGAAAAAACGAATCCCAAGAATGGTAGGTTGGAAGTATTGGATTATTGTTACAGAAATGGTAAAATGAAACTGCTGTGTCTTTTGGATTCCGAAGGATCCACAAGATCTGTCAAAAAAGACCAAGAGAGAACATGTCCTTTTAATATGACTGCAAAAATGTAATTCGCAAAAACATGGATAATAATTATGTATCATAAGCTCAGTGGTTTGGAAATCTCCAGTAATTACGAGGGTTATTTATTAAAGTGAGAATTATCTGGAATTTAATGTGAATTCAAAGTACATTTCAGATTTAAGCCATTGTAACCAAATTGGAATACGTCTCGTAGTCAACTATATTTTAAGTGTGGTTACTCTGGCCTTATTAAAATACGTCTGACGTGTGCAGGAGAGAGAAGGCACTGTGTGCGCGCCTTCTCTCTCCTGCCTGTCAGGAGAGAAGAGGAGGCGGGCAAAGACCATGAGCTGAGCTGTCAGCCAGCTCAGCTTGCGGCCGCGCACACCGTACGCATTCGCGGTAGTGCGTTTAGGACTTCAGAGGGCGGCATGAATGCCGCCCTATGATGTATGTGTGCATGTGCAGCGAATGGAAGTGTCTGATTGCTCCCTGCTCGCGCCCACCTATTTTGTCATTTTGAAGAAATAGGGGGCGCGGCTTCACGAGGCTCCCGGCACTGGAACCAGGTAAGTAAAATGCCTGGAGAGCCCCTTTAACTTGGAATTCCTTCATGTTCCATTGAGTCCAGCAGAGCGGCTGACTGATGCGCTGGCGGATAACTTTGCCTCTGTCAGGCGACATCTGATGAGGGAACTGATAGAAAATGTTATGGGGCTTAATGAGTTAAAATAATCTATGGCGTAGTAGTAAAAAAATGGACAACTTTAATAGGAACATGAGCTGCAAAAAAAGCATTTTCGGAAATAGTTTTAGCACATTTTCACAATATTATTCATTAAAGTAATCGGAAGCATAGCTGATTTTTTTGGGCCTTAAATTTCAAATTTGCTTTCGATTTACTTCAATTACCATCTGTTCTCTTTTTAGTTAATATCCCTGTTAGTTTCTCTCATTGACAGATTTAAAAAAAAAAAATTGATCCTAAGAATCAGTTTCTGACTAAATAGTAATACATGGGACAAATGTTGCAACCAAAATTTCTGCCTAATTTAGTTCCATCATTTAAGTGCCATCATGGAAGGGCTAGTAAGGGGGCACAGGTACAATTACTCCCCAGGTCTCTAGGACATTAGTATGGCAGAGCTGGCAGTGGATTGTGAATTGCAGCTATAAGGAACAGTTTAGGCACCATAACCACTTAATCTCCCTGGCACTCTCTTACCTTAAGGTAAAATTATTTTCAAACAGCTTAACCCCAAGGGAATAGAGGTGATGCTGATTGGCTAGAGCAGTCATTTGATGCTCTAAGACAGTCAGTAGCTTCCCATTCAGAAAAAAAGGTACATACTGATGAGATTTCAACTGGAGCAAGATTGGAAGCTAGGAATATTGCAGGGTCCTTGCTATCAAAGCACCATGTTGGTTTGATCATGGGCTGTTGGTCTGTGTTCTCAATGTTCTCCAGACCTGGACTGACCTACTGGGATATTTCCTGGTGTACTGTGGTATCTGAGGTTGACCAGGCTTTCAGAGTACAATAAGCATGTGATCATGACAGTCATAGCCACACCAGTTGTCTGTGTGAATGCTCCTTCATACAATGCAGGAAATACTGACTGATGGATATTACAGGGAAATATGATAGCAACTCAGCAGCTTAAGCTGCCAAGTTTGTCTGTCTGTCTGTCTATCTATCTCATGCTCTACATGAGTAGAACCATCCAATCTGAAATCTGTGAGTTTCGAGTCAAAAAGTCCCTTCATTTGTACTGCCTCTAAGGCTAAAAAAGTTTACTGGATGCCCTACTGATATAATTTAAGACGAAGGTAAATATCAAATGGCAAACTCTGTGTCCATTATCATACTAATCATCATTATATAACATAATATTAAACTCTCTTATAATTGTCTATACATTGTGCTAGTTAAATTGCTATCCCATCTACAGAGTTCCATAGAAAACTCCTGCCAGCTGTTCTCTTTCTAGTCCTCAAGTGTTGTAAACGCACATGTAAAGAGTCTCCCCTACATCTCTGGTTGGGAAGAGATAGCTAGCTACCCAGAGAAGGGCTATGACTAAGTGCTGGTTGTAGCCCACGAAGGAGGGTTGATGGTGATGCTAAAACAGTTTAGCAGGAGATGTTTATTGCTAAAATATATATATATATATATCTAAGAGACATTAAAGGTTAGAAAATAACAGTTTATTCAGACTCTACACATCAAGGTAAAGTGATTCATGCAAAGTAAAAGTTCTAAGACAGGGGGTGGAGCTTCCACTGTATACACTGGCACTTTACACTATACATACTGCTACTTTACACACTGCCACTTTACACTATACACACCGCCACCTTACACTATACATACTGCTACTTTACACACTGCCACTTTACACTATACACACCGCCACCTTACACTATACATACTGCTACTTTACACACTGCCACTTTACACTATACACACCCCCACCATACACTATACATACTGCTACTTTACACACTGTCACTTTACACACTGCATCCACTACATAAACACACACTCTGCATTCATTACACAAACACACATTGCATCCACTACACAAACAAACACTCTGCATTCTCTATACGTACACTGCATCCATTTCACACTATATCCACTACACACAAATACAACATACACTGCATAAATTACACAGACACTGCACACACTGCATCCATTACACAAATATACAACCTGCATTCACCATATAAACACACACTCTACATCTATTATACACACTGCATCCACTATACTCATGCACTAAACACACCCTCCTGCATCCTCCTACACACATACACACTACAGGAGGTAGCGGAGTCAAGGGTGGAGCCAATGGGAGTGGCAAAATTAGGCTTTGCCTAGGGTGGAAAAAATCCTTGCACCAGCCTTGCTGAGCACACAAATATTTAACCCCAAACAACCACATTACACAAACACCCTGCACCCACAATGGTCAGAGGGTGACTTAAACATAGGAATCATTCAGATACCTAATTGAATTGTCCAGCTTAAGCTCTTAGTGATGGTGACTACGGTCACATAGGCCATGACATGTTTTCTGTATCAAACTTGATATCATGCTTAATAAAGACCTATTAATAGGTTGAAACATTGCTTTGCCTTCCTGATCCAATAAATCTGCCTGTGGCTTTAATTTGGGAGTGCCTGAAGATTTTTGTTTTTTCCTGTTTTATTATATGTATATTGTTATGTCTTATCTTGCCTGCAAAAATAAAGAATTAAAAAAAAAATAAAAAAAAATTCAAAGACAGGTTCACTTTAAAATGTCATTGGAAAAAGTACAACCACACTTACCTTTGATTTGTTTGCAATAAATGATTTTGGCATGTCATTGTAATAGAGGTGTGTTGAAAATATCCTTGGCGAAGCTTGTCTCTTAATACTCTGAAATGAGAAAAACAATTTAAATGTTAGAAAAAAATGGGTATTTTATCTTAAGATCCATTTTGTATATTGCTAGTTATTTGTTTGAGTTTTCTATTTTAGTTTTTCTCATTTGATTGTGTTCTTTTGGGTCATGTTTTCTATTTCCTTTGTCGTAATTCTTCTCCTTTCCTTTTTTGTTCAGTCTGTATTCTTCTAGAATGTCTAATCATTTTGTCTCGTAGAACCAACAGTTATTCACTAAACACAGAATTTTGTCCAAATTCAGAAAATCTGGTTAAAATGACCAAATTCTGACTTCATTGGCAATTCTCAGATTTGCTAAAGCCAAAAGGCAGACAGGATTCAGTCGGTCCAACCGATTTTGTAACATTGACTGGGTTGAGTACAGAAAATCACCACTATATGCATCCGAAACAACTTACAGACCTGGAATTTGAAATTCATCAACGACCACATAAATCGAATACTTCTGGGAGAACGCACGTATAGGTGGCTCTCTAATTAGGGTGTCAGTGGGGCCCTCACAAAGTCTAGAGCCACCTCTTGATGCCTGTTTGCAAATTATCATTTACTTGCTTTTTGCAAGTGAGTTGATAATTAGAATAACTATTTTCCCCTATTCTAAAGAACTATTAGAGCCTATGCAATAACAGGGGGACCTCCACCTACAGGCATCAGATGGGGGCTAATTTAAATTATAAGGAGGGAAAATATTGTCGCCTCCCATGGGCCTCCCATAAAATAGTGCCATTGGGGGTGGGCTTACCATCAGAAGTCTTCTTCTAATCCTTTTGTTCTGCAGCCCCCAAAAAGGCCGAATAAAAATCCACAATTCCCAACACCACTAATTCAAATAAAATAAGAAAAATAAAAGCACGAAAAAAATAAAAATAAATCTTCATTGAGGGCTTGCTGCAGAATGAACACTCCTAGAGGGTAAAGCCCTTTTACAGGCTTTACCACACTATGACAGTTCTCACAAAGTATGGGAACATTTCCCACGCTTTGCAATATGACCAAGAGCTCTCTGATTGGTTTTCTACTAAACCGGCAAATCAGAGCACTCTGACAGCCAGTTCTCAAGAGAAGTGAGATTGGGCTGTCAAAGAGCTCTGATTGGTTGGCTTACTAGCTAATCAATCAGAGAGCTCTTGGTCATATTGCAAAACTGAATGGTGCCTCCATTATCCGTCTCTAAGTGTAAGATCCGTCTTACCAATGTAAGAAATTCTACAATCTCAAATATGATATATGACATGATCACTTGCATCTCTATGAGGAAAATTCTGCGTCCCCATGCACTGCGTGAACGGCAGGTCTGCCTACTGTGCAGCACTAAGCCAGGAAGCACCTCCAGTGGCCATCTGAGGAGTGGCCACTTGGAGGTGTCTCTAGGGGCAATGTAAACACTGCAATGTAAGCAATGTCTTTTCTCTGAAAAGGCAGTGTTTGCATAAAAATGCTTGCATATAATTATACGCATCAGAACAATTACATTAAGCTGTAGTTGTTCGGGTGACTATAGTGTCCCTTTAGGGTTTCGGTTGTAGAATTTGTATCAGTTTTAGAGTTATGATAAAGGTTCTACTTAGAGAGTTACAGTTAAATCTTAACTGAGGGGTTAACTTATTTTTACAGATAAATGTTTTTCAGGCTTAAAATGATAACAATAACTGACATAATATTAGCTGTACCATAATAGCAAGTTCCAAAATGGTGATAACAAACAGCAGAGAAAAAAATGTTACAAAGCCTTCTCATATATATATTTTTTCTAAATCCAATGGTGTACTGCAAGGGGATATTGTTATTAATGTTTGAATGTCTGAAGCTGTAAGAAGATATATGGGTACTTCAAACTAGAATTGAAAATCTAGAAGCCTGAAGACATTCAACATTTTATGACATATAACAGAGCAAAACAAATTCTTGTTCTTATTTTTATGTAGATCTGTAATTTTTTTCTAAGTTTTAAACCTGTGAATGCATCATTCTAGACTCTAGAGTAAAGGATATGAGAGCTAAAATTGAATTACTTCATTAATTATCTTGTTTGGTGATCCATATTGATAATACAATTTTTGTGCATCACTTCACACATTATTTAATCCTGGGACATTACAAATGTGATTGCAACACTGTTCACTTGCGGTCTAATATGTTTAAAATGTTTAGTTTCCTATTTCACATCTTTTAGTGCTTTCAACCTTTAAATGAACACTTACTTAATATGTTATCCATCCAATCAGAACATGGTGCATACTTGGCGATCTTTGTAACACGCCAATTCAATACTTCTTTATGAATTATTAAGTTATCTATTTGAAGCATTAATTCAAATTCTGCAGTCAAATGCTGCATTTTAGTGATGAGAGTGTGTGTGTGTGTGCTGTGCACATTTGGGAGTAATGATTTTTGTATGCAAGTACAAGTAAAGTACAGATCTGGTCACAACTACTTGGCAAGTGGCCCCCCATTTAAGTTGACTTTAAGACCCTTGGTATGTGTCACTATGTAATGGGGGATGATGTTTTCTATTTATTTTAGTCATCCTTTTTTTCTTGTCAATTGTTTGTAGCTTATAAAATATTTTAGAAAAATTATTTCGAAAAGAAAAGAAAACTCTCTTCTGTTATGTTAACAAACCATTTTGCGTTGGTGTTGCTGCTGATGCCCTCTCCTTGTTACGAATGACTATGACTGAGGATTTTTCCATCCTAGAGAAAATCTCAACTTGACAAAAAACTGACATTATTGAATAATTATTTATCTGCAGAAAATGGGGCAGCAACTCACCAGATCTAAAAGATCACAAAAAAATGCAGTTATTGGTAAAATTAGATCTAGATGATATGAATGCTTTGTCAGTTTATTACACCTTACTAAATATCCAGGTGTTTTGCCTGTTAAAAGCACTAATCATCTCTACTATGTTTTTTTCACTAACCTCTACTTTCTCTGGTTCTCCAAATTCCAACATTGCATCTTCTAGCAATGGCTCTCTGTTGTGAGTGAAATAGACCACCTCGTGCAGAACTTGGGTTATCCAATTTGTTCCTGCAAAACAGGGAAAACCAATATTGATGGATAGCATAGAATTGGTCTGGTATAATTTAGTGATTCAGATAAATAAATACAAATATGGAATTGGCCTTTTTTTGTATTCGGAAATGTGTGTATCCTATTGTGAATATGTTTACTTTGATAATAGTCAAGTTAAAATGAGATTTCTTAAAGGGATTCTCCAGTGCCTGGAAAACATATTAGTTTTACTGGCACTGCAGGACCCTGTAGTGCCCCTCTTCCTCCCACCCCCTCCCTCCCCCCCATCCCATCCACTTACCGGAGTCCAGCGCCGCTGTCACTTGGCGCTGGTCAGGTGCCGCCTACTCTCCTCTAATTGTCGCGCACGCGCATTAGACCTCCCCATATGAAAGCATTATTCTTTCCTGTGGGGATTTCGGCAACGCTGGAGGTCCTCACATAGCGTGAGGACGTCCAGCGTTGCTTAAAACACTTTTTGTGTTTAGACAGCCACTAGAGGAGGACTTAACCCTGCAAGGTAAATATTGCAGTTTATGAAAACTGCAATAATTACACTTGCAGGGCTAAGGGTAGTGGAAGTTGGCACCCAGATCACTCCAATGGGCAGTGCTGCCTAGGGACACCTCCAGTGGTGCTTAACGTACCTCACAGAAATGCATTGATTCAGTGCATCTCTGACAAAATTTGATTGGTCAGCACAGCTCTGCCCACTGCCCTCCTCCTTGGCTGAGATCATCAGAATTGATCCCATGGGAAAGCATTGGATTGACTCAGATAATCTCAGACAATGAGGCCAGAGACCTGTGCGGAAAGCATAGTTTTTCTTCTGTACCAGGGAAGAAAGTGGTCAGTCAGAAACTCCACATACTTTGCAGAGGTCATCTTTACACCTATGGGGACCCTAAAGGGGCCGACCAGCTCTCTTCCCATGACTCCACCACCGCCTTGCTGACGTTGCAGCCTTGTTGGAACAGGGTGGCTGTCCACCAACCATCCACTACTCCATTCATCTGGACCATCCAGGGTTGCACGGCCCTCATCAGTGAACAGGATTGTTTGAAAATTAGTCTTCATGTATTTTTCTGCCCAATGCAGACGTTTCTGCTTGTGAGCATTGGTTAGTGGTGGCCGAATAGAAGGTTTATGCACAGTTGCAAGACTCTGGAGGACTCTACACCTTGATGTCCGTGGGACTCCAGAGGCACCAGCAGCTTCAAATATCTATTTGCTGCAATGTAATGGTATTTTAGCAGCTGCTCTCTTGATCCGATGCATGGATCTGGCAGAAATCTTCCTCAATGTGCCTTTATCTGCACGAACCCGTCTGTGCTCTGAATCAGCCACAAATGTCTTAAAGCGGCACTGTCATGCCGAACTTACCTTTCCTCAATCTCTTCCTCTTCTCCCCCTCTCTCAGGATCTGTTATTCTTTTCTTCCTGTCTTCTTTAGTTTTCTTTAAAATCATAAGACAAAGTAGGGACTCTTTGCCTTATGGGGGATTCCTCCGCTTGACCAGCTCTGACCAGCGGAGGAGCAAAGTGTGCTTCATTTCCGCTGGACAGAGCAATTTTCCCATGATCCCTAGCTTTCCTCAGTGTTCCCACAATGCTTCCTGTCATTTTACACAAAACTGCCGAATTGCGTTCTAACTGAATGACAACAGTCTGTTCATTTGTTTTAGAACGCAATTCGGCACTTTATTCAGATCAGAATTTCATTCGAATGAATGAAACTCCGATCCTATTCTTGCTGTGGCTGCATCTGTGGCTTGAAATCCATCCAATCACAGTGCTCTGTGTCATTTTACACAGCGTGGGAAAGTTCTTTTGAATTTTCCCACGCTGTGTAAAATGACAAAGAACACTCTGATTGGCTTAAACCCACCAATCAGAGTGTTCTTAGCCTAATTGCAGGGCGGGGCAAGGCTTTATAAGCCTTCCCCGCTCTGCGGAGCTCAGTCTGCGTGGAGCCCTCCATGGGTGAAGATGGATTATTTTTTTGCGCTCGGGTTTTTTTTTTTTCGTCGGGTTTTTTTTTTCGCTCGGGATTTTTATTTTATTTTCAATTCGACGGTTATGATGGTTTTTTATTTGGCCTTTTTTGGGGCTGAAAAAAGAAGATTTGAGAAAAAAGAAGACGTCGAATGGTAAGTTTAATTTTATTTTACAGGTTAGTTATTTTATCCCCCCCTCACTATTTTTTAGGGTGAGGGGGGTAGGTAGGGACTTGTTTTTTTTGGGTGGGGGTGGGTGACTAGGGGCTTGGGGACCCCTAGTCACCTTGGGGGGGGGTAATTGACTTAGGGCCCCCACCCGCCGCCCAGGGGTGGGGGCCGGGGGGGGCAGTAGGTCCCCCCCATTCTCATTATGGCCCCCACCCGCCGCCCAGGGGTGGGGGCCGGGGGGGGGCAGTAGGTCCCCCCCCTATTCTCACTATGGCCCCACCCGCCCGGGGGTGGGGCGCAGTAGGTCCCCCATTCTCTTATGGCCCCCACCCGCCGCCCAGGGGTGGGGGCGGGGGGGCAGTAGGTCCCCCCATTCTCATTATGGCCCCCACCCGCCGCCCAGGGGTGGGGGCCGGGGGGGGGCAGTAGGTCCCCCCCCATTCTCACTATGGCCCCCACCCGCCGCCCAGGGGTGGGGGCCGGGGGGGGGCAGTAGGTCCCCCCCCATTCTCACTATGGCCCCCACCCGCCGCCCAGGGGTGGGGGCGGGGGGGGGCAGTAGGTCCCCCCCCCATTCTCATTATGGCCCCCACCCGCCGCCCAGGGGTGGGGGCCGGGGGGGGCAGTAGGTCCCCCCCATTCTCATTATGGCCCCCACCCGCCGCCCAGGGGTGGGGGCCGGGGGGGGCAGTAGGTCCCCCCCCTCATTCTCACTATGGCCCCCACCCGCCGCCCAGGGGTGGGGGGGGGCAGTAGGTCCCCCCCCTATTCTCTTTATGGCCCCCACCCGCCGCCCAGGGGTGGGGGCGGGGGGGGCAGTAGGTCCCCCCCATTCTCATTATGGCCCCCACCCGCCGCCCAGGGGTGGGGGCCGCAGTAGGTCCCCATTTCATTATGGCCCCCACCCCCTCATTCTCACTGTTTAGGGGTGGGGGCCAATAGTTGTTTTTTTTTTTTTTTTTTACAGTGAGCAGCCACAGGCTGCTCACTGTTTAGTGGACATGCCCCTACTCGCGGTATAGCGAGTAGGGGCATTTGGGAGATTTTAATCTCCCTTGTGCTATTATGGGGGTCATATTGACCCCCATAGAGTGAGAGGGGGACCTGGGGGGGCTTATGAAGTGGTGGGGAGCACTGCTCCCTGCCGCTTCTATAGTTACATATTACAAGGAGGGAGCTGCGTGCCGGTAGCTCCCTCCTTGTAATAAACTGAACGAACAAACAAACACTGATACATTGTGTTTGTTTGTTTGTTCGGCTGATATTTCTATTTACTCATTCGTCTGTCTGATGAATGAATGAATAGATGAAATTCCCGTTCGCATGTCCAGGTGTTTTAAAATATTTTATTTTATTTTACTTTACAATATATATAAAAAACAGCAATAGTGCTCTCAGTTGGAAAAGATAAATAAAATAGATAAAATAAAATATACTCACAAGTGTAGAGCAGAGAATACTGCTCTATTAACACAGCACTGGTGGAATGATCCCCACCTACGGATTTCTTTAGCACTTTTTCTGGTGCTGCTCTGCGCAGACCTGCTCTCTCTGTAGGTCAGATTGTATCTCCTGAGATTTTATTTTATTTTATCTATTTTATTTATCTTTTCCAACTGAGAGCACTATTGCTGTTTTTTATATATATTGTGGAGTACGACGTAACCAAGGCCAGACTGACGGACACACTTCTTCAGTATATCTCTTAGCGGGGATCATACCGCAAAACGCCCTCCATCCTAGCGCTGGCCTAAGCTCCTCCAAATGTGAGTGTACTATCCTCCTTTTATTTATTATACCCTTGGATTTACAATACTTCACTATTGGCAGTTTGTCATGTTTTATTCTTGTCTTCACATATATGGATTATTTACCACCCGGACGTATCAACTCTTAAGGATTGTACACACACTCTATCCAGCTATACCAGTTTTTTATTTTTATTCTACTGAACATTTTACTTCTTGGATGGACTTTGTTTTATTATATTTTTTCTGTTGTTTAAATAGAGACTTTTTATCAATTATATACGCCTACTTGTTGTTGTCTATTCATTTAGACCATTTGGTCTGGTTTTTACTGTACAGGCTACTGTATTTTAGCGCAGCCCTTACCCATTTTTACCATTTCATGTTACGATATATTTGGTTTCTTAATGTAGGATTATGGTGTAGTGAAGAACACTCCAAACAACGAAACCACGTCAGCTTGTTCTATGAGAAGCATTGCAGGAGCAGAGCAGCAATGCCACACCAAACACTCCAGTGTTACAAATAAAGCTTTTTATTTCTAACGCTGGGCTTTTCTTGACACATCTGACACATCATTAATAAATAGGGCCAATTTTTTTATTTTACTTACGTACATTATGTACAGAGAGGTCTCAGTTTTATACAGACTTATTCTTTCAGATTTTCGATTATACAGGGAATGAGGATTTGGAATTGAAGTTTATTACCAAGTTATTATCCCCACATTTGTGAATTAGAATGGAACATTATTTTTATATGTAATAGGGAGACTGTAGTAGTTGTAGTTATGCAGTTGACAAACGTTGTAGTGTTTATTTTATTTATTTTGCCCAATCACACAATATAAATGACAAACAGGGGACACAAGGAGACAACCAACCAAATTGTTGTTTGCATGCCTCTCTCTGTATTTGCTACAGATGATTTCAGGCCACCTGTTGGTTGGATTATTCTCAGGGTTTACAAACTGCAATTCAATGTAATACAATATTTGCCAGTGCCGGGTGACATCCCTCGTCTATTATTACGCTTTAATATCCAGAGAAAAAAAAAATTAAACAAACACTATAGTGTTAGTGATACAAACATATACTCCTTACATTATTGTGCTGTGGTGGCTGTTTAGGTGACCGACCCTTCTCAGATTGCGCACATGATATCTGTGTGAGAACTTCACAAAGAAGGGGGAGAAGAGTAGCAGCCAAAAATGATTGCACCATGAGGAGGGTCCTTGATAACCTATTTCCAGAGGGCTTGTGAGTTTCAGTCCGCCCAGGTCATTGTCTTCCTCTGTATCCACATAACAGGTTTAGATTGTCTTCACTGGAAGTGATGTGGTGCTATAGATTAGATTATGGGTCTATTGATTAAAGGGACACTATAGTCACCAGAACAAATACAGCTTATTGAATTTGTTCTGGTGAGTAGAATCATCAGGCTTTTTGCTGTAAACAATGTCTTTTCAGAGATAATGCTGTATTTACATTACAGCCTAGTGATAACTACACTGGCCACTCATCAGATAGCTGTTAGAGATCCTTCCTGGGTCATAGCTGCCTAAAATGCATCCAAACATTCAGTATCTCCTCCCTCTGCATGCAGATACTGAACTTTCCTCATAGAGATTAATTGATTCAATTCATCTCTATGAGGAAATGCTGATTGGCCAGGGCTGTATTTGAATCCTGCTGGCTCTACCCCTGACCTGCCTCTTTGTCAGTCTCAGCCAATCCTATGGGGAAGCACTGTGATTGGATCGGGCTACCACTTCTAATGCAGTCAGCAGACTGCTTATTTTTCTGAGTCTAACAGCATGCAGAGTTACAGTTACAGGCTTGAATACAGTAAGATTTTACTATATTTATGGAGGCATGAGGAGCCCAGGGAGGCTAGATGGTAGTGTTAACACTATAGGGTCAGGAATATATGTTTGTGTTCCTGACCCTATAGTTATCCTTTAATAATAACCTCTGTAATAAGTCTGTTTTGGATCATACTGATAGGGATTGCAGAATGGAAGTAATGGCAGTAATGACACCTCTCAAGAACAAATATCTCGGTCACCTATCAATATCTAAAACTTAAATAATATGTTGTTTGCAGGTGTGTAATAACATTAGAAAACGTGATTTGTTGATGAGCCTATCCATGCAATGATCCATAATGGGATTAGTGTCAGGTTTTGGTCTGACTCAAAGCAGAAAATATGAGGAACTTGAGATGTTAAAGTAGATTAGATGTTAGTATACAAATGGGAGATTTAACTGCTTTCATTATGCCTTCTCTGGGAAGATGAAAATAATACTTTGATAAAATGTCAGGCCCCTGCTAAACAAGAGGTTAGTGAAATCCCTTAAAATCATTATTGATCTGGGAAATTATTTGTCATAAATGGATTAATGCAAAACCAGAATAGGATTAGCTAGCACTTCTAAAATGTTATTTTTTTTTTACCAATTTTAGGGTTACACAACATGATCATGTTCTGCCTTTATGTCTAAGCTGCATATACTGCCATGGTCATCCAACATTGCTTACAGTTTGTCACGTATTCATCCGCTTATAAAAATGTGGTTAATGACATTTACTGTCCACACAGGAAAAGTTGTCGCTTTAATTTTCTTATCACTTACAGACCTGGTTCTAAAAATGTCAAGGCCGATGCCTTGTCCAGGCAGTTTGATACTGAGAATATACTAGAGCAAGAAATGTCCCATATCATTCCCCCGGAATGTATCATTGCGTCCACTGTCCTTTCATTGTCCTCTCCACTGCTTGGCTCCATCATGGAGGCTCAGTCTCAGGCGCCCTGCGGTAAACCTCAGGACAAACTGTTCGTTCCATTGGGGGAGAGGGTTAATATCATGAAGGTATTTCATGACAATATGTCTGCTGGTCACCCAGGTATTAATAAATCCAATTCTGCTATCATGAGGTCATTCTGGTGGGTACGTTACCTATCAGTCCTCTGTGTTACACAATTCTACGTGCTGGATCATACTGTAATCCTGACAAAGTTGCCTCACAGTTATTGTACGTTGGAGAAACATAATGGTGGATGCATGACAGTTGCACAGTCGGATTTGCCGGCATATGCGCTAACCTTACCCAAACCCCCATTAAAACAAGGATACAGGTTATACTGTTGGAAATAATTAGTCCACAGCTTTATTAAATTATTAATAAAATAATTAAGGAATAACAAATGGGGTCATTGCCAACAAATCTTTATTAAAGTTAACACAACCTTCCATATACATAACATACCCCTAGCAATGACCTCACAATAATAACAATAGATAATCTAAATAACATGTTAATACAGAAACTGGCCGCCCGATATGACCACATTTCCACCAGGTTAAATTGTAGGGGGGTACCGAGACACCGCTACCCACCATATCGATTGTAGGGGTGTACCAAGACACCGCTACCCACCAGTTCCAATGTAGGGTGTACCAAGACACCACCACACCCCCAGGTTCGGAGCCACCGACGGGCTCGAACCTACCAACCACGTGCAACACTGCCCAATCCACACTAAACCTCAGGATGCCTACTTTCTCCTCCATCTACCCTCCGATTTAACCAGGCCATTCCCCGCCACAGCTCAAGACTTGACACCTAAAGCTCCTGAGCAACCCCCACCACACCGGAATAAGGCCTGTTGAATGCCTTCCTGAAGGCCCAATTTAAACAGATCACACCTTACATCCGAAAACGTACCCCATCCCCCCTGGAGTACCCAGGGAACTTGCCTCCCAATTCGTTGTGTCTCACTGTTACACCGCCCCCACATCTGATAAATACCGCCATCAATTTTTTATTAACTCGTCCTCAACACCAAGCCACCGCATCCGGGTACCTAGTATGTCTCCAATGTAACCGAGGAACCATCTCGGACCGCACCACCATCACACCTGTGGCCCGCTCCCATAACCGGTCTACCTCCCTCTGCCTCCACCTGATCAATTCCTTTTCCGGGACCAAGACGATATCTTTCCCACCCTCGCGGATTACCAGAATGTCCTGGACAGTACCCCTTGTTACCTTCCGGAAAATTTTCTCCACTAATGCCTTGCCACCAAAACCCCCGAGAACCAAAACCACTCCAGCTCCACCAATTCCAAAGGAAAGCCCAGTTGCGCTTGACCCGAACCGCGGCTCCCTTCTGCGCCCCTTAGATGTAAGAGTGGCCCACCAACCATGTCACCAAACCTGAAACGAAAGTAGTTAGCGACAAGGCATAGCCCCAAACACAAACCCATACGTCCATAGCCATTAAACCAAATAGACCAGCCGTAAACAGGACTAAAACTATACTGACTCCCACCTCCCTAAACGTTTCCCCAGATCCTCACTTAAAACCAGGCGGGACACCTCTGTCGCCGCCATCATCCAGGAACAATGGGCCCCCAACATTGTCAAACCCCTCCGAACAAACCTCTGCGGGAATTGAATCGTGACAGCACAGATCCGTCCCCTTTTACCAGTAAGCCACCCAGGATGTCCGGGCGAAGCTCCAAGTATCGTGATGCGCTTGACGCCGGGCATACCCCTGACCCCGGCAGGGAATATAGCTTTACCAAACCTCCTTTACCAGACACATCCGTTCTTGTGCAACCCTACCGAATCGTTACCTTAACCGACTAAGTTTGACAACCAAGTGTAGAACCCCCCAACACCCGCCCGAAAGGCACTCACCAGCTCCCCAATCCAAATTGCCTCAAGCCCCCGAGAAGGCCACCGCAAACAAACTCACTGCAAAAGTAGAGTAATACACCACCAGGCGTTGCGTTACACAAGGAATCCAGCCGCCCGACACAGACATATTTCATACCTCTCCATAAAACCCGCGATGCCTGACGGACGTGACAACGTTCCGTCACTTCCTCCCAATTGGTCAGTTTGAACCCTAACGCCAATGCCGCCATGCTCCTGTCCATTGCCGCTGGAGCTAACGCTGAACGAACAAGCGGCTTAGGAACGACAGCAAGGTATCCCTTCGCCCCTCCTTTGACTGGGACCCCTCAGTGAAACCAACCGCCTCATCCCACATATCCCAAACCTTCACATAGGCAGTCCCTGTGCCTGGTGCCATAGGATTCGGTATCGATCCTCCAAGCATGGCGTCTCGAGCTGCCACATTTCCTCCAGACCAGCCTGTCCCTCCTCCCGCGCCCCCTGGGGCCGCCATTCGCAGCTTGTCCCCTTGTGTGCGAGCCAAGTAACCAACCCCTACCTTCCGCCAACCAGGTACGTGGTGTGCCTGCACCCGATATTAAATTACCTGCACAGTTATACGAATCGCCGCCATCGGCGTACCTCCTGAACCGAGGACCCGGCTGGATGGTAAACCGCAGGAACCCCGCCGTATTGTCCGTGAATTACGACTTTTCGTCCCTTAATCCTTCACCTTTTAGAGCCACGGCCACTCCCAATGGAAATAACTCAAAAGATGCCAACTTCGAATAAGAGGACTTACCTTTCACGCCTCCCGCCACCGCTCCGTGCACCACCTGCCTTCCAGGTATGCCCAGGTATTAGCGTAAGTACTATAACTGTTTTTAGTATTAATCTCTGCTTTTTACTTATGTGCATGATTACTTGGATCTATTGTCCACTGGTTAAAAAAACATTAGTACTGGAGTCGAGCAGACAGCTGTTTTAATGCATACATCTGTATGAGGCTAAGCGGGAGAAGTGGTTAGGGAAGATAAAAATGGCTGCAGAGGATGTCAGAGGGGTTTGGATCCCAGGCTGCAAGTGGTACCCAATACGCTGCAGTCTCTTGCATAGCCCTTGCTGTGTTAGCAACACATGTGCTAGCAGCTTATTATATAGAATTTCAAAACTCTATCCTTTCTAATTGCTATAAGGTAGATGTTAAATAAGTACTGCATAAAACGCAACTTTTAAAGCAATTGTGATTTCTCTAAGGGGGTCTTTGTGTGCTGCGTGTATGGTGAGCCTGTGTTTCATATGTGTATGACAATCAAAATCTTCACGCGTGACTGTGGCTGGGTAAGGGGATTTAACGTGGCTGAGGGGGTGAATGTGACAGGATATGAGGGTATCTCTGTCAAGTGTGTGTGTGTGGGAGTGACTGTATGTGGCAAGGCTGTATTCCAATGTGATTGAGTAGTCTCCCAGTGCAGCGCAAACCCTGCAAAGCGTATGCTTGGAAACCTGACATCAAAAAAAGATAAACGCTCCCTGTCGTGGCTGGGCAGGATGGCCGCAGTCAAAATGATAGTGTTGCCAAAATTTCAATACTTGATAAGAACCCTACAAATCCATGTACCAAAAACATACCTAGATAAACTGCAGAAACTCATAACGGGCTTCATATGGGCACACCAAAAGGCCAGGGTGGCAGCTAAAGTACTGAGCAAACCACAGGTGCAAGGGGGCTTGGGGATGCCAGACATAAAACAATATTACAAAGCGGCTATCCTGACCACGGTCATACAGGCCCACGCAAAGGAGGAGGTGCCACAGTGGGTGGACATAGAGGCTGTTTGGGCATCTCCCAGGGGCCTGAGTTATCTATTCTGGATACACAAAGGAAGGTGCACCAAGATGTGCCGCTTACTACACAACTCTTATTAAAAAATGGGACACTTTCAGGTCAAAATGGGGATGCACCACAGAGTGGGCACGAGCGACCCCCCTGTACAGTCTGCACTTAGTGAACCCCACCTTTGATTACCGCCCATGGATTAAACAGGGATGCACAATGATTAGCCAGCTGTATGACAAAGGCAAACTAGCCAACTTCCCAGACTTACAACATAGATACACACTTCCGCACAACACCATTTTCCAATACCTCCAAGTGAAATCCATGATCCAAGGATCTCAAAATGTCACTGAAACAGCCACTGCACGACGCATTGAACAACTATGTGAAGCCACAAAACAGCCCAGGAGGCTAATACCACCCTATACAACCTGTTAATCCAGCAACCTACAAATACCCTAGACAAGTTTAAAACAGCATGGCAGACAGACATAGGGAAAACCTTTACTGAACAACAATGAGGAAAAGCAGTTTTGGCACACAAGAAGAGGACGAACTGTGCGTCTCACTTGGAGCAGATGCTCAAAATACAGTACCGCTGGTACATGGTGCCTGAGAGGTTGGCAAAAATCTACCCGAACTCTTCCAACATATGCTGGAGATGCAGAGAAGAGAAGGGAACGATGTACCACATATGGTGGAAATGCACAAGCATAGCCAAATACTGGGGGGAGGTGGAAGAAATAGCGACAAGGGCACTAGGTAGTGAGGTCACAATAACACCAGAATGTGGACTCTTGTTCATGGGTTTAGAAGAACACAATACAACAAACTCCCGGTTACTGTTTCATATTCTAGCAGCGGCCAGCACCCTAATAGCTAGGGTGTGGAAACAAACGCAAGCACCCACTAGGGAGGCCCTACTTCAGCAAATAACCACGAATTTGGTGTATGAAAGGGGACTGAACAGACAAAACCCAACCAACAAATACGCCATCTTGGCCCACACAAAGTGGGTAACTGCGATGGGGGGTGGAGAGGGAGTAGGGAGAGAGGAAAAAAAAAAAAAATAGAAGGACTAGTTCTTGACACAAAATGAAACACCCCCACAGTGAAATGGTACCACAATAGTTAGAGAAGGAGGAGACAGCCACCTGCACCGGGATTGTTCACCCACACGTACATAGTTTTAGTTTTATGGACACGAACAGAGGTGGTCTCTATGCATGACCACGACCACAAGGAAAGAGAGGAGGGATCACAAAAGTTAAACAATAGACAAAAGAGAAAGGTCACAGAGACCTTGGAGACGTTAGATGCCAACGATAATAGAAAAAAATAAAATATAAAAATAAATAAATAAATAAAAGAAAACAGGTCAAATAGGTGACACTGATTATTAATACAACTAGGAAATAAAACAAGTAAACAGATCGTGTCTGCTCCCCTCATACCCCTCCCCTAACTCCCAATTTCTTGCTGTACCCCTCCTTCCCCCGCTCCCCTCCCCCCCTGCACACGAAAGGTCGTTCACCAAAAAGGCCATTGACGCCTAAGGTGTATAACATAATTAATGACAAGTTGAACTCAAACAAAGTGAAGATGTGATTGTTGTTCCCCTCCTTACCCTATCTCTCTTCTGTATCCCAAAAAAAAAAAAAAATAACATGAACCAAAGGTGTGACAAATGCATTTATTGTACTGTTGAGAAGTCTTTGATAATGTACCAACAGCTTCTCCCCTCCCCCTTTTTTTTTCCTTCTGTATTCCAAAAACGAATAAAAATTGTCAAGTTGAAAAAAAAAAAAGATAAAAGTTCAGTGTGGTGTAAATCAGTTCTATTTATTTTTGCTGTAATTAATCTTAACCCTTACCCCACTGCATTGATGCATACATATACCATATTTGTTTCCTTGTGTTCGCAGAATTATTATATAAATAAGCCGGGTGCTAATTCATTCATTAATTATATAGGATTGATGGAACGTCCTTCAAAAATTATTGATCCCACCTAATAAGATAACCTGATTAAATAACCTTCCTCAACTTTCCAAAAACTTTGTATTTTAATCACTCACCACATTTTGGGTAAGTTGCAATGAACATATCATCTTCCCTGGCTTCCAGTGATTGCACAGCTTGGAAGGTCGCCTCACTGCAGATGTAAATGGGGTATAAAACCCCTTTATAAAGAAACAGCAATTCTTCAGCGGATTTCTTGCTGGCCTCTTCAGTCACTTTCACAATAGCATCTATAAATTTGTCCCGTTCTGTTCTAGGCTTCTGTTTAAGGGTAGACATCCTTCACCTTGTGTGACTGTGCTGAAAACTGTCCTTTGAGTTTTGTTTATTGATATAATGAAATGGGAGGGGTTTGGAGCACAACCTTTAAGCTTGGATGTGTGCTGCCAAATTAGCACATATTATTGTGTTTTTACTTCTACCTAGTTGCACTATACTGCGTAATATAGTATGTAGTATATGGTATGTTATGATATGCATTCATACAAATCAGTGCATGTCAGGGGAAGGGACTTTGTGAGTAAATAATATATAAATATTATAAAACTAATATTTTTTTTTCACTTTTCTTTTTTTTTTTTTTGAAGATTTGTTGACTTTGCTGTTTAAAGGACACACGGATGTCATTTCACGTACAGGTAAATTTTGTATCACACAGCCATATAACTGTGCTGCCGCCAACCCCATGCGTTTTCTATTAAGGGTTAATAAGTGAGTAGGGGTTTAGAAAAAAAAAAACTCTGTCTCTTTAGAGATTTTACCTTGTAGCTTAAAGGACCACTCTAGGCACCCAGACCACTTCAGCTTAATGAAGTGGTCTGGGTGCCAGGTCCTTCTAGGGTTAACCCATTTTTTCATAAACATAGCAGTTTCAGAGAAACTGCTATGTTTATGAATGAGTTAAGCCTTCCCCCTAATCCTCTAGTGGCTGTCTCATTGACAGCCACTAGAGGCGCTTGCGTGCTTCTCACTGTGATTTTCACAGTGAGAGCACGCAAGCGTCCATAGGAAAGCATTGTAAATGCTTTCCTATGCGACAGGCTGAATGCGCGCGCAGCTCTTGCTGCGCGTGTGCATTCAGCCAGCGGGGCGGATCGGAGGCGGAGAGGAGGAGGAGAGCTCCCTGCCCAGCGCTGGAAAAAGGTAAGTTTTGACCCCTTTCCCCTTTCCAGAGCCGGGCGGGAGGGGGTCCCTGAGGGTGGGGGCACCCTCAGGGCACTATAGTGCCAGGAAAACGAGTTTGTTTTCCTGGCACTATAGTGGTCCTTTAAAGCAGCAATGTGAATTGTTAGTGCAGGATTCACCTAATAAGTTTTGCCTTTACGTGACAGATGAGCTTACACTTAAATGGCCATTGAAATGATACTAAAAACCTCCAGTAACTAAAAACCTCCAGTTATTTAAATGTGCATAGGGATTTGGTACAGTGTAACCTTTTTCTTTGTTTTTATTGTATGTATTTGGGCTGATGTATACTATAGTCATTTTATGTTTGAATTAATCAGTATGGGCAAGATCATTACAGCACAGGCAAAGGATGTGAGGAAACAGGAAGGTATCGTTTATGTTCACAGATGACACCTAAGACAGATGAAATGTGACAGTAAAACAATTAAAATCTGCCTGCGGCTTTAACACTTGGGTGCCTGGATATTTCCTTTTTGACTTGACATGTTGGGATTGCTGGTCCTGCTCCAGAGCACCGGTGGCTGCTGGTATTGAGTGCGGTTCCTACAACTATCTTTGCAACACAGTAAAACAGTCAAGAACCAACTTACCAGACACCAACTAAAATAGAAGGAAACATAGAAACATAGAATGTGGCGGCAGATAAGTACCATTTGGCCCATCTAGTCTGCCCAATTTTCTAAATACTTTCATTAGTCCCTTGCCTTATATTATAGTTAGGATAGCCTTATGCCTATCCCACGCATGCTTAAACTCCTTTATTGTGTTCACCTCTACCACTTCAGCTGGAAGACTATTCCATGCATCCACTACCCTCTCAGTAAAGTAATACTTCCTGATATTATTTTTAAACCTTTGCCCCTCTAATTTAAGACTATGTCCTCTTGTTGTGGTAGTTTCTTCTTTTAAATATAGTCTCCTCCTTTACTGTGTTGATTCCCTTTATGCATTTAAATGTTTCTATCATATCCCCCCTGTCTCATCTTTCCTCCAAGCTATACATGTCGAGTTCCTTTAAGCTTTCCTTGTACGTTTTGTCCTGCAATCCATGAACCAGTTTAGTAGCTCTTCTCTGAATTCTCTCTAAAGTATCAATATCATTCTGGAGATAACCATCTGGTATGGAAACACTAATCCAGAAGCTTGAAATATATTGGTCTATGTATTGAATAAAATTCAGTAAAATCAATTTTTTGGCATCTAGTTCACATCTGTTCTTATATGTTTGGAAGGGTTTCTGAGTAAAAACCCAGGTAATGTGGCAATGACTTCAGCAGGAAAACGTGGAAATGTAAGATATACGGTGAGTAGGTGGGAAACCAGTTATAGAAAACTAGGTACTGCTGCAATGATTTGTTGCCTAACTTTGTTCACCTAGAAATAGTATGGGATAAAAAAATTGAGGCTTATATTAGTATTTTATTATTTATTTAGCGCCAGCAAAATTCCATAACGCTGTACAATGGGATGACTCACTTTAGAATTTAACATCTTTGCGATATGACGTTATGGAATTTTGATCAGTCGGGGATCAATGATTTTAAAAACTTTTAAGTATAAAACATATTGTATGGCTATCTCTCTTGATCTAATTCTGTCTATTGGATGTACTTTTGATTCAGATCTGCTCTACTGTTTGGATTGAGTTTCTAACTGAACAGATTGATGAAGGTATTCAGGCTGGAAGAATCTAATCATCTTCAACCAAGGATTTCTAAAGTACACAGCTACCAATAAATAAATGGAAACTTTTTTTTTAAATGACATGGCATAAATATAATATGTATAGATAAGAAAACTCTGTCCTGTTGTGCTCACTTCTTTTTTTTTTTTATGAATTCCAAATCTTAATAACAATATGAGAACACAATTGCAGCAATTGTCATTCTACTTCAGACCATAGCCATCCTTTTTTCTGACTTTTCCATCGAACGGTCCCATCCTCAGGCTTTTAATTTTTTCTTTCTGGGCATTTACTTCTTACAAGATTTTATTTAATGCTATAATCTTTTTCATTCCTCTATTTTTTCACAAAGAGGCTACAACCTCTGTGCGAGCCTGGAATGAATTGAGAGGTGGATGCAGTGAATGTTTTTTTAAAGGAGGGAGTATGTAGATGTTATTATTTGAGCTATACAGGAGTAGACTGAAGAAAATTTTCTAAGTATCAATATCTCAGAACATAAATGACAAGATGACATCAAACAAATGTTCTAGGAGAGCACTCAGCACAGGTTTGAGGTCTTCATGAGTAGGTTTTGAACAACACACTTCCTGGCGCAAGATATGAAGCAGGGATGAGGGACATTTTTTTTAATAAGAATAATAAAAGAAATGGAATTGCCCCCCCCCCCCCAAATAGGGCCCATGTCCAATAAACTCCCTGTTCACATTCTCACACACACTACAGCTGCTATACAAACATGCACACAAATGCACCCACTGGTATCCTTATACTTACACACACTTAATCCTCTAAATACACAGACACACTACAAATACATTCTAGACCATTTATACAAACACACTTCATCCCCTATATATACCCTGCACACTCCCACTACATCCCCTATACAGGAACTGCAGCCTCTATAAACACACACACTCCTATATTCACATTGCAGCCGTTATACATAAGCAGATACTACAACAATTATATATACACATACACACACTCTCTCTCTAAAGCCCCTTTGACATGCATAGTTGCATAGTTGCTGTGACAAACCCTGTAATTTCCCTTGCCCCAGTTATTTTCCCTGCATTTGGAAGTTTGATCTACCGAACACCGACCACCACCCTGGCTCAATTAACTCAAGTAACAAAGTTAAGTGCTCTCCCTGGGCGGCCGCCATTCGTATGACCAAACAACACGTGCGCTGTAAAACGGAGGCCATCTTGTCTCCCAAAAGCAGGCAGCGGTACTTGGTTGTCGAGTGTCTGGAACTCTAAGTCGGACACTCTAACCTGCGAACACCGGTAACTTTGTACCAACACCTGCTTCTATTCCTGACAAGCCAGGCGAGCGCTATCCGGTGAAAAGATACGCAGAAACTAGATGAACAATCGCTACCTATGAGCCAAGGGAACCGTTCAGTATTTTATTCATTCTGGGACTCCCGAATGTGACCGACCGCTACCACTTTGGAACTATTTGGAGCAAACGCCACATGTGCAGTCGGTCAAAACTTTACCCCGGTGGCGATTTGGCTGTAATAGTGGGATCTAAGCGCTATTTGGACACTTTGGGTGCTCAGAGCCAGGCTATCTGGGGATATAGGACTTGTGGGGGTCCCTATTAATATTATGTATATTTTGGGGTGTTTTGTGTTTTATTTTATGTGCCTCTTGTGCCTGGGAGATAATTAGTTTAAGCAAAGTACACTCCATTTTCTCCCAGACACAGAAACTCCTGGATGTGTTTTCCTATACTTTTGCTGGAGACACCCTGCTAGGATTCTGTGTTTAAAAGTGGGCCATCTGGCCATAATAAAGCATTCCAGTTATACCCTTTATCAAGTCTTGACTGATGTTTGCATGAACGGCCCGTCCATAGCCCCTGGTGGGGCCATGGCTCCAGGCAGCACTTTGACAGGGGCATCATTTTGGCACTCCATGTGCGCCGCAAAAGGGGGGCAGATGCCACCTAAATTATTCCCTACCTTCCTGCGTGTACCCCTGTCCAGTGGGTAATTTACCTGCAGCCTTCGCTTCAATTAGGTGGCGCTCTCAGCACTGGCTGTCTGGAGCGCCCCCACATGAACACAAATGCCGGCAGGGATGGAGTACGAGGCGCACTGCCGTCTGACGTAATTACTACAGCCTGACCGGCATCGAGACAAGATGTGGACAGCCGGTACATGACTCCTGAAGAGCAGGGTACCGCAAGGGCATGGCAGCCAGGAGCTGCCGCCCCCTGCCCTGTGCCTAGAAAAGGTACTGTGCTACGTGTAAAGGACTGCTTGGATTTCATCCAACCCCCACCTGTATATGTAAGGGAGAGCTGCTTGCTGTGAATGTGCTTGTGAATGTGCTTGTGAATGTGTGTGTTAGGCAGGGTGTGTGTGTGTATTAGGCAGAGTGTCTGTGCTAGGTAGGGTGTGTATGTGTGTGTGTTAGGCAGAGTGTTTGTGTATTAGGCAGAGTGTCAGTGTTAGGCAGGGTGTGTGTGTATATTAGGCAGAGTGTCCAGCAG